TCCCGTTAACATTTAAAAGAAATATTAATGTGGTAGTTAATAAAACTAAAATAATTATGTATTTAGTCTTCAATACTTATATATTTGATCAATTTGTTCTTAATTTAAATTTAGTTTTATAAATTAATCTTTCTATCATAATGTAACACGTTAACATTTGATCATGGCATGTTTTCAGTGACACATGTCACCGCAACAATGCCTTAACCACTAAATCAAATGCTTCATTTAGTTAATTCTTTTTACCAACATCAATCTACTTTTAACATGATTAATGATAGAAAAATAAAAATAAATAAAAATATTCAAATGATATTTAATTTAATTTTTTTATAATTTTAAATTAAATTTAGTATTTTTTTATTTATAAACAAAATTCTAAAAGAAGTCAAGTAATATAAAATTAAAAAAATATTTTTAAAAATATAATTTAATTATTTTACCAATTGTTTTAGTTATCTTATGATTTCTATTAGAATTTTTTTATGTTTATTTTTTAATTATTTTAATGCTCGTATTAAAATAATAAACTTATTTCGTTAAAAATTATTGAATTTAGTTTAAAAATATTGAATTTATTGTTTTTGTTTTTAAAATACAAAAAATATTTAAAATAAAATATCATTTGAATATTTTTATTTTTTATTATTAATAATATTATAAAATAAATAAATTTTGGTGCCTATCTAACCAAATGAGAAATTGTTTCGGTAGTTAGGGCATTGATTATAATCCATTTAAGCCTACGTTTAAAACTCCTCAAATGCATTTCATCCTTTATGTATTTTCTATCCAATTCCAATCAAAGGGAATATGTGCTAAAATTTGATTAGATATAAAATTTATGGGTAAACCATAGGAGTAGTCACTTACCATTCATACTTGTACAATTTTTCTCATCAAATTCAAAAAAGTTAAGTTTTGGTCACTTACATTATCATTTCATTAAATTTTGGTGACTCAGGCATTAAATATCGTTAGTTTGATGACGTGGTACGTTAGTAAAAGGGTTTAGTTTTCATTTTAACTCCTAAATTTTAGATAAAATATTAATGAATCTTTTTATAAACTCAAAATAGTTTATGAAATAATTATCAATTTACCCATTACTCTTGATCTTCTTCTTCTCCAACAAGTATATATTAAAACTAAGGGTGTTTAATGAATTGAGCAACTCGTGAACAGCTCGAATTTGACTCGATAAAAGTTTGACTCGAGTTGACTCAACTCGAGCTCAACTCAAGACCTTAACGGATTGAGTCGAGTAATGTCCAACTCGACTTGATAAGTTCGTGAGCAACTCGTTAATTTTTTATAATTTTTTACTAGTTATCTTTAAAAATATATTTCATTAAAAACTTACTAATTTACTAATAGATGATAAATGACTTATATATTAATTTTCTAATAAAAAACATTAAATTATTAATTATTAATTATTATTTTACTACACCCAAAAATTAAACCCTAATTATTATTTTAATGTATAAGCCGATTTTTTTTGAAGTTTAGGTTTTGAATTTGTTTCATACATTCTTTTGATAATTTTTTGGTTAAATTTATCAATTTACGTTTATATTAAGTTTTATATAGTATTATTAGATTTTACCTATAGTTTAAAAATATAAGATAAAAATTTTGGTGAGCTTAACGAGTAACAAGACAAGCAAAGAGGCGAGTAAAGAGCTTACGAGTAACGAGCTTAACAAGCACGAGTCGAGCAACAAGTTTTTTTAACGAGCATGAGTCGAGCAAAATTTTAACGAGTTTAACGAGCAACGAGTCGAGTCGAGCAATAAAATTTTTTAACGAGCACTATCTAACTTGCGATCGACTTGCTCGATAAGCACCGTTGATTAAAACAACCTTAATGTTCTGGTTTGCTCCCTCAACTTTGCAACTGCTCACGATTTCTTCCAAACTGTGTTGTTGGTGGTCAGTGTTGAAAAGGACAAACTGATCTTCATCGTCAACCATTGATGGATAGTCGTCATGAGCAGCCGGAAAAATGGAGGTCGAAAAGTTCATCTCTAGCATTGTGAATCTACAATTGAATTGTCCTGAAAAGTTTAATCTACAATTAAGTAATGTAGTTATATTGATTTGAAAATGAATAATACGTTATAAAGTGAGTGATAGTTTCTTCGTTGAAAAGTAAGCATCCTGAAAAGCTAATGAATATATTTTATAAAAGAATGCCAGATACATAGATTCCTTGTCTATAAGGATTAATCTTGTGAGTATAATGTCAAAATTAGCTTTAATATTTACTGAATGATTATTTTAGTATATATATATATATTTAAAAAGTATTTTGATTTAGGGTAAAAAGACTCTTAACGATTTATTAAATAATCATTTTGACCTTATTCTTTTTTCTAAAATATTTGGGTCTCAGCCAAGGGTGTGGTTGTGTATGGCCCCCAATTAAAAATAGATAAACTACATGGTTAGTACCTCAAGTATAACCTTTGTTTTGTTTTGGTCACCCAACAATTTTTTAAATTATACATAATGTTTAGTTTTTGTTTTATTTTGGTCACTCTAGTTAAAAAATTAGCGATGATAATGAGGTGTTACCATAAGATAATACCATGCCATTATTGAAAAATTGTTAAAATGTCAGATAAACAAATTTGTTAATTATTTAACAATGTGTGGCCAAAATAAAATCAAAATGTAACGTTAGATATGATTTAAAAAAAATAATAGGATTGCCAAAATGAAATAAAGGTCCAACCTTTTACTTTGCCTTAGGGCCACATAAATCTTAGAAACGGGTTGATCTCAACATTTCATTTTTAGGGTAAAAAGACTCATATTTTAGAGTGTCAATCGTTTGTTAACTAATACTTTCTATTAAAGGAGGGGCTTTTTGTCCAAAATAAAACACTGAGGACTAAAATGTTCCATAAGATATTATTGGGATTAAAGATATTTTGGAGTTATATGAATTTTGGGTATTTTCTAAAAAAATAAATTTTTAAAAGATTTGTGAATTTTATTACAAAATAAAGAAAATAAAAAATTAGGTGAATGACGAAAACAGAACTAAAATAATAATCTGATGACTAAAATAATGTATCACAAATCTTAACATCTTAAGCATGAGCATGAGGATTTACAAATATGATACCAAATAAAAGACTATATGACCAAGTGGAAGTTAGAAAGAGTTATCAACAATCGATTGAGGCACTAAATTTTTTAAGCAATGTCTAACAGTTGAATTTTGATATTATGTATAAAATAAGTTAGATCGAGAGATCATTCATAACAAATCTATATAATAATACTCGGTTCAATTTAATCGATAGATCAAAAATCAATAGTCATAAAAAATATTGTAAAATAGGGAAAGATAAAACCACAAAATTAATCGGGCTATGTCTGGCGATACTGCTACGAACTGGCGTGAGCTTTTTGCGGCGGGAATCGATCAGGAATTAGAATTTTTTCCACCAGCGGTGATTGAGGGCGCTTGTGTGGTCAAGCCGCCGAAAGATGTGTTTGAGGAGGGAATTTCGGAGTGGAAATTTACTCTTGTTGGGCAGTTTATTGGTTCAGCTCCAGCCTTTGGTTCCATTCAGAGAGTTGTCTCGATGCTATGGGGGAAGGCTTCTCCGATTAAGGTGAGTCTTGCTGGGCAAAACCTATATGTTTTTTCATTTAATAGTATTTGCATGGTTGTTTCGGAGTCTGAGATCAAAGAGACCTTATGGGGACAAGGGAATAACAAGTCACCTGGCCCAGATGAATATAATGCCTTCTTTTACAAAAATACTTGGTCTATTGTTGGCGAGGATTTCTTGGCAGCATTTAGGTACTGCTTCGATCACTCTTTTATGCTTCCTTCATTTAACACTACTGTTGTGGTACTTATCCCTAAGATTCCTAATCCTAGCTTAGTGAATGACTTCAGGCCCATATCTTGTTGTACGGTTGTTTATAAAACTGTTACAAAAATCCTAGTAAACCGTCTCTCATCTGTTTTCCCTGATATGATCGCTTTGAACCAAACTGCATTTGTAAAGGGTAGAAGCATAGTTGACAACCCCCTACTTGCTCAAGAAATTGTTAGGGGTTACTCTAGAAGTAAGATATCCCCTAGATGTGCTCTTAAGATAGACCTCCAAAAGGCTTTTGATTCCTTAAGCTGGGAGTTCATTGATGTGATCCTGCATGCCATAGGGCTACCTGAGAAGTTCATAGGTTGGGCATGGGCCTGTTTTGCATATCCTAGATACTCCATTGTTTTCAATGGTAGTCTTGTAGGATCTTTTAAAGGAGCAAGAGGAGTGTGGCAGGGTGACCCCCTATCACCCTACATTTTTGTCCTAGCAATGAATGTCTTGTCTAATCTCCTTAATATGGCTGCTACGAAGGGTATTTTTAGCTTTCATCCTAAGTGCAAGAGGATTGGGCTCACTCATCTCTATTTTGCAGATGATCTCCTCAATTTTTGCAAGGGTACAATTGGCTCTGTCATGGGAGTGCAAGATGTGTTGGACCATTTCTATTCCATGTTAGGGCTGAAGTTGAATGCTAGTAAGTGTGAGATATTCATTGCTGGTATCCCTGTTGAGCATATCAGTATCATCAAAGAGAGTACGGGTTTCAAATTGGGTAGTCTCCCAGTGAGATACCTGGGTGTCCCATTAGTAACCAGGAAATTGGCTGTGAAAGATTGCCAAAGCCTCATCGATAAAATTAGAGCAAAGCTTAGCTCGTGGGCCAGCAAGCAACTCAGCTTCGCTGGTAGGTTACAGCTTGTTCGTTCTGTTCTGCTCAGTATCTCAAGCTACTAGAGCAGGCACCTTATTCTTCCTCAAGCAATTATTAGGAAGGTTGAGCAGTTGTGCTCTCGGTTTTTTTGGAAATGGTTTGATGTTCCTTCCAAAGGTGCATGAGTGAGCTGAAAAACCATCTGCTTGCCGAAATCAGAAGGTAGACTAGGGATTCACGACGTATAAGGTTGTAACAAATCTTGTTTTGTTCAGCTAATTAGAAAGCTTCTCACTAATGATGGCTCTCTTTGGGTGGCGTGGATGCACTCTTACGTTATTAGAAACTCTGACTTCTGGCAGATGAAAGTCCCTAAAAATGCTAGCTGGAGCTTCAAGTACCTGCTGAAAATTAGTCCTGAGGTTGCTTTCATCCTTGTGAGTCAAGGCCAAGAGTTTAGTACGAGATGCATCTGGGACAAATTGCGCTCCCCAGCTCCCAAGGTCCCTTGGCACCACCTGGTCTGGTTCTCGGGACGTATTCCCAAGCATAGTATTATTGCTGAAAATTAGGTTCCAAATTCATTGTTGGCGATTGTTCTTGCAGGTGATATGATTTGTTCCTACTTGAAAGTGATTTAGATGATCAAAACTCATGGTACATCATTTGCATGCCAAATGGATCTATATGACCCGTCTCAATTTTATTTGGTTAAAGGGCATAAAAGTCTTTGCCTTTTTCAGAAAATTAATCAAGTCAAATATCTAAATAAATTTTTATAATGATAAATTGGAGAAATTATTAAGTGAATCCTTTCAGCCATAATAATTAATATATCATTGTTAGAAAGAATTAAAACAGTTTAATTCTATTTTTTTTTTGAATAATTTAAAATTTTATTACCCAAGAATAGCAGAAAACTGCTTCAAAAGTAATACAGTCAAAAAAGCAAAAGAAAGGGGTTTCTAATTACAAAAAAAACATAATATACCCCAATAATTACAAAGAGATAGGTTAGTTCTATCCAATCTATTAACATTCCTATTACTAAGTTAAGTTCCTACAATCTGCTTGATTAAGACCAGAATCTCGTCCTCGGATCTGTAGGTTCCTCTCAAAAGTCTTCGGTTCCTTTCTTCCCATATGGTATAGTTGAGAGTGCACCAAGAGAGCTTGAGGGTACTAGTAAGCAACGATTTTCCTTTCCATGTGTTATATGCCCAAACTAGCATATTAGTCCAAGTAAAAAGAGGTTTATGTATAGCTGTGAGCCGAAGAATTGAATTCCATATTGAAGAAGTTATCTTACATTCAGCAAAGAGATGGTCTCTGGATTCCCTTGCTTCAGAACAGAGGATGCACTGGTCATTAGTTTCAATTCCAAATCGTTACAGCCTATCCTTTGTAAGAAGGTGATCCAAGATAACCATCCAAGAATTGTATTTGGGAATGTGAAATGAAAACCAAATCAGATTATGCCATGAGACTTTACTATTTTTCTGTCGAACCTCTTCCCAAATCAGCTTGGTAGACGCTGCTCCGGAAGTAATAAGAGGTCGAGTTGTTGTTCGAAGTTTCATGATTTTCCTAAGGAGCCAGCTAGAGTTCAGAGGTTCTTCATGAGCCAGAAATCATTATCTTTGATTAATTAGTTGTGAATCCAAGCAACCCATAGTGAACCCTCCCCTGTAAGTAATCTCCTAATGAGTAGCAGCATGCATGATTTGTTTCACGACTTGATATCCTTAAGGCCAAGTCCACCTTCAGACTTTGGATTACAAATTCTATCCCAGCTTACTCTTTCTCCCGCTGCTGGAATGTCAGATTCTTTCTAGAAATATCTTGAACAAATTTTTCAATTTTGTTTATAACAGATTGAGGCAAGATAAGTTTCCTACACCGGTAGTTGGCAACACTAAAAAGAATGGTTTTTATCAACTCCAATTTGCCAGCATAACACATCTTCATCCTGGACCATTGATGAAGTTTGATCTTGACCTTGTCAATGAGAGGCTGACAGTCTTTAACAGTAAGTTTCCTTATGACCAAAGGTATTCCTAGATATCTGACTGGTAGTGTTATATGCTTAAAACCAGAGGAATTAATAATAGTGTCAAGAGATTGAACTAAAATTCTAGCACTAAAGATTTCACATTTAGCAACATTAAGTTTGAGACCAGAAATTTCATAAAAGTAGTCAAGAACAGTGGTGACTCCCATGACAGATTCCAGATTTCCCTTGCAGAAAATTAGTAGATCATCAGCAAAAGTTAAATGAGTGAGGCAAATTTTCTTGCATTTATGATGGAAGTTGAAGATCACTTTTGCAGCAGCTTTATTGAGTAAATTAGAAAGGATATTCATCACCATAACAAACAAGATTAGGGAGAAGGGGTCCCCTTGTCTAAGACCCCTAGCACCCTTAAAATACCCAATCAAGCTTCCAATAAAGGCTATGGAGTAAGTTGCAGTAGAGTAGCAGGCCACAATCCATTCTATGAAAATATTTGGAATTTTAAGAGCCTTTAGAATGGTTAAAATAGAGCTCCAGTGAATTGAGTCAAAATCTTTTTGAAGATTAATTTTTAGGGCACACCTAGGTGAAATTGTTTTCCTCCCATATCCTTTCACAATTTCTTGGGAAATGAGGGTATTGTCAATAATACTCCTTCCTTTGACAAAAATAGATTGATTAGAGGAAATAATCTTAGGCAGCAAGTGGGTCAACCTATATACAATGACCTTTGTGATGGCCTTATAGATTATTGAACAACAATAAATATGGTGAAAATCTGAAACTTTACTGGGATTCAGAATCTTTGGGACCAAGGTAATTGTAGTGGCATTGAAAGATGAGTAGATGTAAGACTCCTGGATGAAAAATTTAATAGGTTTAATCACTTTATTTCCGACCACTAGCCAAGCTTTCTTGAAGAAAATAGAGGTGTAACCGTCAGGGCTTGGGGCTTTATCATTTCTTTGACTGAATATAGCCTCCTTGATCTCTTCAGAAGTGACTTCCTGAGTGAGGCCATCATAGTCTTCAGAGGGTGGAATAGGAAGCATGAGGTCTTTAAGAAGACTGGTAGAACATTCTTTAACATTAAGGTCATGAGAGCCTAGAAGTTTTTTAAAGCAATTAACTACTTCTGAGGACATATCATCGAAAGTCTCTAGCCTTCTTCCCTGGTCATCAACAATCACTCTTATAGTGTCTTTCTTCCTCTTAGTTACGATGATTGAGTGAAAAAATCTGGTACATTTGTCTTCCTCTTTTAGCCTCTGAATTTTTGCTTTTTGTTTAAGAAACATTGCCTCGGCTTCCTCTAAGGAGTTGAGGTTATTTTGTAGTTCAAGTTCCTTATCAATAGGCTCAACACCTCTTAAGGTAAGGATTTGATGTTTCTCAATTTCTTCTCTCTTAAGTCTAACCCGAGTAGAAATGTCACTGTAGTAGTCATTGTTGAGGGTTTTGAGACTAACTTTAAGGCGTTTAAGCTTAAGAAAAAGTTTCTTCATAGGATTTCCTTGGATAGGCATAGACCAAGACTAGCTAACAATATTTAGGAAATTTTGATGAAGAGTGCAGCAATTAAAAATTTAAAAGGCTTAGGTCTATTTGTTTGAACCTCTTTGTGAAGAGACACCAAAGCCATACAATGGTCAGAGAGACCAAGGGCTAAGAATTCCACAAAGGAGTGAGAAAAAGATTCAAACCATAGAGGGTTGATGAGAACTTTGTCAAGTTTACGAGTAAGAAAATTTTCCTTTTTCTTGTTACTCCATGAGTAAGTAGGACCAAAATATGGATGGTCTTGGAGGTGAAGGTCATGGGAGATTTCTTGGAATTCAATCATTTCAGAAGAGGTGACCATACCTAGTTGTCATGAGCAGAAGATTCGTGAGGATGGAGGATGACATTAAAGTCTCCTCCCAAGATCCAAGGAAGATTACTGAAATTAGAATCAATATTTCGAAGGTCCTGCCAAAGATTCCTTCGCGTGATTCTAGCATTGCATCCATAGATTGCAGTAATTAAGAAGGGACTGTTTTTGAAGTAGCTTTTGATAGAAATACTCTGATCAGAGGCATGCTCCAATCAGAGACATGGCATAAAGAAATGTTAAGGTTTTTCCTCCACAGTAGCCAAATTATACCATTCATTGCAAAGTCATAGTTGGAATAAATATTACAATTCTTAAAGGTGGAAGCTAATATGTCTGTAGATTTATCTAGCTTTACACGGGCTTCCAGCAAGCAAAGGATATCTACTTTATTAAGGACTGCCTTTCTAAGGACCTTGCCTTGTTTTAGAGGATTATTTAATCCTCTAACATTCCAAAATGAGATAATCATTAAGCTTGGGTTGAGGGAATTTGTTCCCCTCCTTTACTGCCAACAATAGAATTTTTTGATTTTTCAAGATTGGATTTCTTTTTTGATTTGAGTTCTTTGATCAGGACAGCAACACCAGAGGCTATTTTTCTAGGATATTTACCATGATAATCTGAAATTGGTTGAATCTCTTCAAATGAGTTAAGAATTTCAAATCTATTACTAGAGGCTGCTAGAGCTTTATTGGAATTATTTTTTGGAGGTCTAACTCTACCTCTTTTGGTAGGAGAAGTAGAATAGGCTTGTAAACTGCCTGGAGAGTTTTGATTAGCTGGAATAGTCGGATCATTAGCAGTTTGGAGGATAGGATCAACTGCAGGACATGGAGGGAAGGGAGAAGGGGTTCTATGGGAATGAAGAACATCCAGAGAGGGAGGGGAATTATCAGATGATTGAAAATCAGAAGCTGGTTGATCACTTGTTTGAGATTTCTTTGATTTAATTTCCTCTGAACTGTTAGAAGTTAACTTTGAGGCCACCTTATCATCATTATCTTCTGCAGTTCGAAGTTGAGAGGTAGAAGTAGCATTCTTCTTCCTCCAAACTTGGCTAGAAGTGTGAGAGGTTAAAGGGATAGCTTTGCAACCTTTAGCGCTATGACCGAAAGAATTACAATATTTGCAGCAAGGTAAGAGCTAGGGTACTTCAACAAATATTTAAGTTGTTTGTCCATTGTTAAGTATAACATCAACTTGTTTAGGGATCATATCTGAATCCCCGATTTCGACATAGACCTTAGTAAATTTCAGTCGAGACTTAGAAGCTGTAATAGAATCCATAGAGAGAGGGAAGTCTATGGCACTAGCAATGTAGCTTAAGGATTCGTTAGAGAACAATTCAAGTGGAATATTGTACAGATGAACTCACAGAGGAATTCTAGATAAGTCGAATTGCAGTTTTTTCATGTTAGGTTCCCATTTCCTAAGGATTAAAGGCTTGTTAAAGATATGACAATGGTCGTTTTCCAATACCCATTCACGAGTATATTCAGAATCGAAAGAAAACAAGTAAATATTAAGTCTAGCAACTAAGATGAACTTTGGCACCTTGCAAGGGTTTTTTCCATAAGCTTTCGATAATCTTCTGTAGAGATGGAAAGTTTGGTGTTGCCCCAGCACTTGCCCAACGTGAGAGATTTTTCACTCAACAATTCTTTCTTCAAATACTTCAGGCGGTGGATGAACAGTTTGAGTCTCATCTTTTTCATTTGGGGGAAAATATCGCAGTTTATGACCAACAGAACAAGAGAAAAGTTTGCGCCAATCCATCGAATAAACCAGGAGAGAATAAAACTTGAAGAACAGCAGAGAAACGGAGAGAAATCGGTGATAATTCAGAGAGATTGCCAACGAAACGGTAGGGATTTACAGACTCCACTAGACCCGCTAATGTGTACCGAGAGAAACTCATAAACGTGAGCCATTTTTCTTTTTTTAAGCCCCTTAATTAGGTTATTGAGAATTTTTTATTAATAGTCTAGGTGATCATTTTTTGTTATACGATCCTTTCAACCTTTTTCTTTTAATTCAATTTTAACAATATTGTTTCATATACTTTTCTTCTCGTAAATCTATAATAAAGGCACACTACAGTTACTCGTATCTTCTCTTTCTCCTCTGTTCAACGTCTGAATATTGTTCGATCGTCATGTTTTCTTTTTCACATGGTATTATTCACCGATAATCCTGACATCGTTGTCTCTGTTATGAATCTTGTCTATGTATTTATTTTCTTTGTTTTGACTGTTGTTGTTACTGTCATAATTTTTTGTTGATCTATTTCTTCTTCTTCTCATCACATTCGCTACTGGTTAATCTTCTCGATCGCCACACCATTGTCTTCGTTGTTGTTGTTTTTTCTCCATCTGTGATTGTCATTGATTCAAAATTGCTACCCGTATTCGATCTCATATTTGATTCCGTTTCAACTGGATTTTGTTCTCTATTCACCGCATTATTTTCATGTACTCTTTTATTATTATTATTATTAGGCACCCGAGGTCCCCTGAACTTAAAAAAAATCAATATAGCCCTCATTTTATTTTTTGGATCAATGTGGCTCTCCAACTCGAAAAAAGAATCCAATGATACCCTTTGACCAACGTTTTCCGTCATTGACCAATGTTCTGTTAATTTCTTCTGTTATAATTTGGGTAAATTACACCATTCATCACTCAACTATTTTCTTTTCTTCTATTTTGGTCACTAAACTCTAGAAGTTTTTATTTCAAAAACTTTAGAGATTTCAGGGACTAAGGTTGTAGTTAACTCATTTTATTTTAAGGGTCAACTACACAAATGGTCACTTGTTTCAAGAATAAATTACTAATCATGGGTCTTTTTGTAAACCCAAAATAATTCAGGGATAAAATACCCATTTACCCTTTTTCCATATGTTTTCTTCCCCAAACCATCTTCTCTTCCACTCTTCTTCCCCGTTTGATGAAACAAAAATATCTAATTTACATAATCAAAACAAAGATATGTTCGTTTCTGAATCAATCTTCGATTTATGATGATAATGAAGAAGATAATGCGACCATGGAGGTATGCTTCTCTGGTGAACAACGATATAAGGGGCATGCAACATTCAACATCAACCACTCATCGATACAAACGTCGTGGAAATAATGATTGCAACCCAGAATAGTCCTTAATGTCTCTTTAGCTCGGTACTCAGAAAGACAACTAGAGGAAGTGTTATCGCTCGGCGTCGCTAATCGTCGGCTTTCGCCAAGCAGTGTCATCGGATATAACTCGATGGTCCGCCCATCAAGACATTTGACTACCGAAAATGCTTCCGGATTGGGATTTTGATCATTGTGACGACGGTCTACCTTGAAGTGAATTACTAGGCCAACTATGAGCGAGAGGGTTATTCCTACGCCAAACATTATGTCAAATTTAGCTTCAATACTAAGCCCTATATGTAATAAAAAAAACACAATTGGTTAATGAAATATGTACTAACTATATTTAGATGCATAGAGTTAGGATTAGACAAAAGCTTAAACCTAATATAGCATTTTGCAAGTTTCAAATCAAATTAACCACTGAAAAGTTTTAGTGCTGTGGGTAAAGCAGAGGAGGAGCAATTGAGAACCGTGTAGCTTCGAGGATGTAACAATTCAAAAGGAGGGCTGATAGATTAAATCCCTGAAGAAGACGTTGTGGAGTGCAATGATCAGGGTCGTTGATCGGTATGTTTTGGAAGACGACAAAGGTTTTGGCTCTGCTTCCACAAATAAGGGAAGAGGCGCGGCGGAGAAGAAAACATATGGAAAAATGCTAAATTGATATTTTTTCCCTGAACTATTTTGGGTTTACAAAAAGACCCATGATTAGTAATTTATTCCTGAAACAAAGTGACTATCTGTGTAGTTTACCCTTAAAATAAAATGAGTTAACTACATCTTTAGTCCCTGAAATCTCAAAAGTTTCTAAAATTAAAAACTTCTAGAGTTTAGTGACCAAAATAGAAGAGAAAAAAAATAGTTGAGTGATGAATAGTGTAATTTACCCAAATTATAACAGCAGAAATTAATGGAACCTTGGTCAATGACGGAAAACGTCGGTCAAAGGGCCATTGGGTTCTTTTTTTCGAGTTGGAGGGTCACATTGATAAAAAAAAAAGATGAGGGCCACATTGATTTTTTTAAAGTTCAGGGACCTCGAGTTCCTTTTTGCCTTATTATTAATATTTGAATATTCTTAGGTAATTACAAGTAATATCTATTTCGAATCTTTCTTAATCATTAACAACGTACACATACCCTACATATAGGAGTGAACAAAACTCGACTCGACTCAAAAAAATCAAATTTCATTTTCAATTCTGAGTTATTCGAGTTGAGTTATTCAAAAAATTCGAGTTATTCGAATAAACTTAAATTATCAATTCAGTTTTCGAGTTCAAGTCGAGTTGAAATTCGGATACTTCAAGTTACTCGAAAACTAAAAATTTTATTATGCATTTTGACAATTTTACGATTTAGTCCCTAATTTCATTATTCATTCAATTCATCCTTCATTTTAAGTCTATTTTTAACCAAATGTGAACCACATGCTCCTAAAAAATTGTAGAATACATATGTACTTCCAATTCCTCTTTTAGGTAACAAGTTTTCTAGTTTTCAATTTAGTCCC